CACAATACACGCATACACATAAAATAAAAATAATAAATAAAATTTTTAAAAAGAGAGAGAATCATTGAAAACTGAACAAAAGCAAGCAAAAATTGGGACAGTTGTCAACTCCTGGGTAATAAGAACAAAATGGTTAAAGTGTGTGCATCTGCCACAACTGAGTACTCTCTTTATGTGGTCACATTCCTAGTGCCTGGAAGAATCCTAGTAAGAAAGCTTCAAACACAAATATGAACCTTGAGAAGACTAAGAAAATAGCAAAGCCACAGTCAAGAGTTAGATGTTTCATTAATAAGTGAATGATGGAAGAGGCTCCAAAAGAAAACCGACAATGTTAGGATGCAGAACAGCACTGTCCATCTTTATCAGGTATTTCTAGAAAAACTTCTACCCAAACCAGATGTTCATGAGATTCTGCATAATAAGGACTCTTAGCAAATTTAAGAAGATTGAAAGTCACATCATATTTGGTGAACATAAAATATTAGAAAAACAAAATACCTAGAAAAGTGTCAGACGGTTACACTATTATGCAGGAAAGTATTCTGACGTTAATGAAAATGAAAACAAAATTTTAGTAGCACTAAGTCAGAATTTTTAAATGTTTAGATCAAGAAAAACTGAAATTTAATGATCTAAATTTTCAACTTTATAGGCTAGAAAAACGGGAGACTTTGGGGGTGTTAAAAATATTCTTATTGTCGGGAAGGCTATGGGAACGTGCCATTTGTGATGTGGATATATAGATGAGTAAGACTGTTTGGGATGTTCTGTATGAAACACATACACACACAAAAATCAACAAATAAAAATAAAATAAAATAAATATTCTTAGCTGGGCGTGGTGCCACACACCTTTAGTCCCAGGCAGAGGAAGGCGGATCTCTATGAGTTCCAGGCCAGCTCGGGCTACAGGGAAACCCTGTCTCAAAAGGACGAAAAAAAACATAATTCTTGATTGTGGGGCTACAGGGAAACCCTGTCTCAAAAGGACGAAAAAAAACATAATTCTTGATTGTGGAACCCTTTGTCAAAACTCACTGAACTGAAAACAATGATTCGCCTACAGTTCATTGTTTTGTTATGCACATTTTCCTCCAAAAACAAGAAGGAACAACAGCCACAACTTCAGTATGGCCTAAACACAAAGGCCATCCAAACCTGGTTACCTATAGATCTCAGCACAGCAAACGTACTCACTAAGGCGCCTGATCTTTGCCCCACATGCCACAGGCACCTACCTCAAGCCTTGTAGTAAGCAAAAAGAGACTAGAAAGGTCCCAGGAAAAAAAAGGAAGAGCTAGTGATGCACATAAGGACAAATGTAAGGACAAAGTACACTATCAGAGAAAGACTAGACAAGCCAATTCAGTAAAAAGGTGTCCTGGTACATCCAAGCAAGATACACCTGTCACTGAAATTGGAAATAAACAGATTTTGTCCAGATAAAAGATGGCACATGCCTTTGATCCCAGCACTTGGGAGGCACAAGCAGGCAGATCTCTGTGAGTTCCAGGCCAGCCTGGTCTATAAAGTTGAGTTCCAGGCCAGCTGGGGCTACAAGGAGACCCTGTCTCAAAAAGACCCCCCCAAAAAAGAGGGAGGAGGTTCCTTGTGGAGCAAAGTTCCAAACTGTTGAAAACTAAGAGTAACCTAAGAATAAACTAAGAGAAACATCCACACTTCACTTTTAAAATTAACTATGCCTAAATACCAGAATGTTCACATGTGACTATAATTCCAGCACTGGGCAGGCTGAGGCAGGAAGGTCACAACTTCCAAGATGATCTGAGCTACACAGTGAGACATCTCAAAAACAAAACCAAAAAAACCAAGCAGGCTTTTGTTTTACCATTGTTCTCTAAACACTTCCACATAACTATTTGCACAGCACTGACACTGTATCAGGAAGTAGAAGGAAATGCACAGATCTCAAATATCATAATAACACACAAATATCATAAATTTTACACCAATTTAAGAAAGTTTAACATTACCACAAGTGATGGCATACTCTTGCAATCCCAGCACTCAGGTGCTGAAGTAGAAGGACTGGTCTGATTGAGGCTAGCCTAAACTACACAGTGAGTTCAAGTCAGTCAGGGCTACAAAGAAACACCATGTTTCAAAAAAAAGAAAAAAAAAAGGTGGACTTGCATCTGTGGGTTTGGGGATAATGCGGCTATTTTTCCTATACATACATAACCTATAGCAGCTTATAAACGAAGCACAGTAGGAGATTAGTTATTAATAAGATTGTAATAAGAATTATATAAATTGATTTCTTGCAATCTTAAAAATATGCAGTACTAGCCCCTTCAGATGACATAATGCCTACATAAGGAAGTGAAGTGGAGAATATGACATTGTGACAGTAATAAGCTACCACGTAAGGATTACCTGAACATAAGCACTATTGCTCTCTGTGGTGATCAAGTGACCTACCACATGACCCACTAGTGGGGCACATATTAATCCTGGATACACTGAAGACAAGGATGATTCATCTGCTGAGCGCTAGACTTTGCCAGGCTATTCAGAATGATACAATTTAAATCTTATGGATGATGGGACTGGAGGGTGACTCAACAGTTAAAGAGTACTGGCTGCTCTTGCAGAGAACTCGGGTTCAATTCCCAGCACCCACATGGCTGCCAACAGCTTAACTCCAGTTCCAGGAGATCTGATGCCCTCTTCTGGCCTCTGGAGGGTTACATGCAGGCAAACAAGCATCTATGTAAAACGATAATAAATAAATATTTAATTTTAAAAATTCATGGATTTCTAGAATTTCACATTCAATGTTATCAAGAAACAACTGGCTGCCATGAACTGAAACTGCAGAAGCAAACCTAGAGACAAAAACAGAACACAGTAACAACATTCCACTTCTACAAAGTTCAAGAATAGGCAAAAATGGTCTCTATCTGCAAAGCCTAAGAAGAGGGGCTGGCAGAGGTAGGGGATGGGGCTAAATGAATTGGAGGGTGCATAAAGCTGATGATGGACATGTTCAGTACTTACATCTAATTACACACTGAGGCCCGCATTTGAGATCTGAACAATACTGTTCATTTTTTTAAGGTATCCACGTACATCTGCTTGACTTACATATTATTCCTAGTCATTTTTCCCTTTAAATATTACTTCCATATACTAGACCCAATTTTAGCTATTTTCTTTACCTGAAGCACATTGTTCCATTCTCTTTTATTTTATTTTTCTGAACAGTAGATGCTTGTGCTGGAAGCGACACAATTTTATTTCCAGGCAGAGCAATCTGCTTTAGGATGGAAGCTTCAAAACCAAAACAAGAAAGAAACAAGTAGAATATAAAAAATAGCAATCATGTCACATTAGGAAATATTCATGACAACAGTTTTTAATATACATAGAATAATCAAAGAATATCTTAAGCAGCCCTAGAATTGGTTTAAGTTAAACAGAATGATCTCCTCCAGAAGAAATTATCTTATGTGACTGGAGAGTTGGCTCAGTGGTTAAGAGCACTGACTGCTCTTGCAGGGGTCCCAGATTCGATTCCCAGCACCCACATGGTGGCTAACAACAGTCCTAACTCCAGTTCCAGGGGATCCAATGCCCTCTTCTGACCTCTGCGAACATTGCACAACACAGGTGTACTTACATGGAGACAATACACTCATACACATGAAATAAAAACATTTTTGAAAAAACAAGTCATCTGCCAGGCGTGGTGGCACACGCCTGTAGTCCCAGCACTTCGGAAGCAGAGGCAGGCAGATCCCTGTGAGTTCAAGGCCAGCCTGGTCTACATAGTAAGTTCCAGGACAGCTGGGGCTACAGGGAGACCCTGCTTCAAAAAGACAAAAAAAAAACAACAACAACAACAACAAAACAAAACAAATCTTATAAAGAGCTCTCAATTACATTTTTACATGCTCTCAAATTGTTTTTACAAGCAGCAGCATTATAAAAACATGCACAAAAATTGGCTGAAAAATGTGTTGGTAATATATAGCTTACACTGGCATATTTTTAAAATATGTAAAACTTCTGCCTTACCTATATAAGACTAACTTCAAAGGAAAGAAAAACTACATTAAAAAAAAATAAGATAGCTGGGCGTGGTGGCGCATGCCTTTAATCCCAGCACTAGGGAGGCAGAGGCAGGCGGATCTGAGTTCAAGGCCAGCCTGGGCTACATAGCAAGTTCCAGGACAGCTGGGGCTACAGGGAGACCCTGTCTCAAAAAGACCAAAAAAATAAAATAAAATAAAAATAAAGGTAATGGCATATTTATATATAAATTTTTTTTTAATTTTTTATGTGTATGGTGTATGAGTGTATTGCCTGCATGTATGTGAGTGCACCTGTGTCGTGCAATGCCTCGGTTTTCAGATTCCCCCAGAAGTGGAGTTCAGGACGGTTCATAGCCGCCATGTGGGTGCTGGGAATCAAACCTGGGTCCTCTGCAAGAGCAGTCAGTGCTCTTAACCACTGAGCTATCTCTCTAGCCCCAGTTATGGCACATTTTTAAAGAGTATTTATTTACTACTAGATTATTTTATCTAATAACAAAATCATGAGCAGTTGTTTATTTCAAAACAACACATACCCCTAAAAAATGTTTATGTAAAGAATTTTAACAGTTGCTTTTCAGTCTTCTCTTAATACAGCAGGAGCAAACTGCCCTGTTCCGACCCACTGTGATGGTGCTGGTCTGGGCCATGGAGGAAACTTACTAGTAGGCATTACAGTATTCACTGGCATCTGTTGCCCAGATTTCTGAATGGTCAGTGCTGAGGAATGAGGAGTGGTGGTCACATGTTTCGCAACACCTCCAGAAGGTTGCTGTACTACCTGGAACAAAAAGAGCTCAGTGTAGTCACTCAAGGACACTGGTGTTGGCAATGAAGGAAGTTTCCACTCTTCTTTTTAATTTTTAATAACTATATGATTAGAAGAAGCATTTCATTACAGCTTTAACATATTCTGTAACATACTCCAGAGCAAGAGTACATCTCTTTGACAAGTGGCTGTAAGTTTCTAGATTCACAGTTGAATTATTACAGTTATACAATACTGAACTCAGTATAAGCCCTGTAAGACATAAAATTGAATGAGTTTTTAACCCTCAAAAGAGATCTCCATTTCATTCTAAAATATACGAAAGACTCATTGTTTTTGCTACCAACACTGAGATGTTGGCACGTGAGTCTCTAATCTGTATGTATCTGATTATTATCAGTCAAAATTGTTTGCACTTGGATCCCTGGTGCCTGTGTATGTCTATAAAGTCATCGGGTAGATTTCAATGGTAATGTTCATCACCTCTACTAATTAACATGACGTAAACTTTTATGCTTCCTCAAATATAATACACTTTTAAATTTATAATACACTTTTAAATTTATTGTTTTTTTCTGTGTGTGTATATCTCACAGAACATCCCAAACCATCTTATTCAACTATATACCCACCCACTTCCCAGATGGCACCCTCCCATAGCTTCCCTCCCCCCACTAGAGCCCTTATACTCTGATATCCCTGCTACTATCTGCACCCCCAGCCATTCCCCACTGCTTGCCCTTCTGGTGAATCTAGTCAGCCTATCTAGAGGTCTTTGTTTTAGGAGGGCCAGGTGTTCCTCATCTAGCAGCAATCAGTTGTCAATATTCCTTTAGATAAGATTTGGGTCTGCTATTCATTTTCCCAGTTCTATGCTGGGTTACTATCTGGGAGTCCCTTTGGCCTCTTAACAGCTTGTGCTTGCCATGATATGTGTACCTTTACCTAACACAACAACAACAAAAAGCCTGCTTAAAATTTAATTTGTTTTTGTTTTCATAAGAAAAGATCTCACTATGTAGTCCAGGATGGCCTCTAACTCAGGGATCCTCCTGTCTCAGCTTTCTAAATGCTGGGGCTCTGGGTATATGGTACCACATCCACCTTAACTTGTAGGGAGCAGTTATCTTCTTCAAAATGAAAAACATTATTATCTCTTACATTATACATTACTTTCTAGAGAAGAATTCAACTTTAAGAAAATTACATAGATACTATTTTGTTTTTAACTGATGGAAAATTTCAAACATATGCAAAGATATAGAGAACAAATGAAACTATCTGCACCACTATCCAGAGCAAACTAATTCTTGTGGAGTCATTGTTTCGTCTCTACCCTTTCCACCTTTCTGCCAAGTACCTCCAATTACCCTACACCAAATCCAAGAGTACCTTTTTATCCATAAATATTTCAAAATATACCTCAAAAAAATTAGGGCTATTTCTGTGCTTTTTAAAAAGTGTCATCCTAAACCTTTCAGAAAGTAATATTCTCTAAGAGAGAAATTTATTAATGGGTGGGGATAAAGGAAAAAGAAATTAAAATACTCACAAGGCTATTACTTTTAGCTGTTAAAGAAAAAGACAGAAGTACAGAGTGTCATATTTTCACTTCAAGAAACAGTCCCCATGTATTTAGGCCAGCTACTGATGATAGTGAGATAATTAGAAGTCTTTAAAGTTCTATATGGTTAATATAAAAAGTCATGGTACAATTTATTCTACCGTGTTTGTAATTAAATGTATAACACAAGTGTGTACAACTAAAAAAAACAAAAAACCACCTTGGTGAATTTCAAAGTCAGCCAGTGCTGCACAGTGAGACCCTGTTTCAAAAAAAAAGGGGAAGGAAAGAAAGGAGGGAGGGAGGGAGGAAGAAGGCAGGAAGGAAGACAAAATGTGCTGGTGACTAATCCTATAGAAAGTAGTGTCCTTAAAGGACAAATATTCAGATGGATTAATTCAAAGACCTAAGCTTGAATAATTTAACTGCCATTATTATCTGAAAACAGAAAAGGTAGGTGTGGGGGGGGGGGGATGAATGAATGAATGTCTGTGTTAATGAGACATGATCCCACTACATAGCCCAGGTAGGCTTTAAATTTGTGATTCTTCTGCCTCAGTCTCCTGAGCAACTAGATTATAGGTCTGAGCCACAGGTCAAGTTAGAAAAGAACTTCTTGAAATACTAATGCATTTCAATGAAGCAGAGACGATTCATTCGTATTCTGCAATATTAGGGACAAGGTTTAAAGTACATGATGTAATTAATATACATTTATCAGGAAAAGACTCCCAATAATTCTGGCTTATCTACCTATTGTCTGTATTTCTACCTTCAAACAATATTCACTTTACTCTCAAAATTATCTGCCTTTTTGGAAAAAATTTTAAAAGGCCAAAGATTTTATTAACTTCCTCATTCAGAAATTTACATATCTTGTGGATTTGAGGGATTTTTTTCATTTTATCTGATAAAATTAATTATAAAAATTTAAATTTTAAAAATAAACATACTAAAATTATTAGGTTTTCTAAATTAAATTAGCTTTGCTAATTAAAATTGAAATTTAATTTTTATTCAAATGAGTAACATTTTTTTCAAATATCCAAAAGAAAGGATTCAAGCATAAAATCAGATAGTTTCTAAACAAAAGGTAAAAATAAAATGGTAAGTTCAGTATATTTTGCATGTATAATCACTATAGCAAAAGTGGTAGAGAGCCAATAAGAATAACCATTTATAAGAACTTCGTTCTTAAATTAAATCCCCAGAACTGCATAGTAGATATTCACATTTCAAGTATTTGAATACCAAATAAAAAGCTTACACCTAAAAGATACTAAGCAGTTTCAGTACACAGAGCCTGAGTGTAATATAGAATAGCCAACGAGAAAAGAATGCAAAGCCAAAGAATGCAAAACTAAAAGATCAGTAATACAATCTAGGTCCTTTAAAGTGGTAAAAATGTATAATTTCATAAAGTATGAATCGAAACTTTGCAGTGGGAGGTTGGAAGGATTCTTCCAATTGGAAAGTGTAGTATTTAAAATCTTAATAAGCTGGAAAAGGGGTCTGGAGCAACGGCTCAGTGATTAAGAGCAATGGGTGCTCTTCCCCCAGATTCAGGTTCCAGCACCTACACAGCAGCTCAGACATCTATAACTCCAGTTCCAGGGGATCCAATGCCTTTTTCTGGCCTCCATGGGCACCAGGCACACACATGGCGCGCACACATACACGCAGGCACACACAAACACAAACATAAGTAACTTTTATAAAAAAAAAATACTAAAAACATTCTCCAGCAGTATTCCAATTAAAAAATAAATATTAAGGAAATTTTAACTCATAACCAATCGTTAGAGGAAATAAATGAACTCTAAGTCTGATATCAAGTCAGAGTGCTTTCTTTTCTGATATATAGTTTATAACGGACTGATGATATTTAACTACCTTCAAACTTTATCAAGTCAGTTGTTATAGCGCTTTCTTTCCTGACGTATAGTTTATAATGGACTCATGATGATATTCTTTAATTACCTTCAATTAAACTTCAATTAAACTTCAATTAAACCTAATTTGAAATTTTTTTAAGTTAAAATACTAAATGACATGCTTTTAAAAATTTACACAGATGCCAGATGTGGTGGCACATGCCTTTAATCACAGCACTCAGGAGGCAGAGACAAGCAGATCTCTGCAATCAAGGCCAGCTGGGGCTACAGGAAGACCCCGAGTCAAAAAAAAAAAAAAAAATCTAAGCAGGTGACAAAGAATTATTTCACCTCATGAATGTATAGGTGCTCAATAAAGATCTGCATTGACTCAGGAATCATTAGTAATGACCAGTTAAGAGGATTCATTCAGTTCTACCAAAAAGAAGCCTTTCCTTGAAGCAGCTCCTCTGACCCTTTGGATCCAACCCTCACTGCCCAGAACAATGTTGAAAAACCACTGATTCTATTTCTCAGGTTAAATTCAGGTACCCAGTGAAATCCTGCAGGGCAGGTATGTTTCTCCACCTGAACTGAAATTCACCAGAAGATCAGAGCTCAGGAAACAACAATTCACTTGGCTCCCAGCAGAGACACAGCTCTGGATTCCGGTCCCTCTGCTCTATGCCAGACACTGTCCTATAAGACAATCATCCACAGATGCAGGCTCTACCTCCTTACACAAGCAAGGCTGGAAAGCTTAACAGAACAAATAGAATAAACTAAAACAGATTCAAAACATGACCTCAAACAAGGCTCACAAGAGAGTAAGCAACCACCAAAGAGCAAAAGAAAAGAAGCTGTGTGAAGAACTTTACCAAGAAACATGATTTTAAATTAATTCACCATGCAGTAGCTCCCATGGGTTAGTAATACTTTCAGAAGCTTCTGGTAAATCAGTCTTCTGATAAAATGTATCTTCTCCTGAATAAAGCAGAAAATTCTAAACATCTAATCAATAAACAGCTAAAATTTCCTTCTTTTATCAAATAATCATCTATTCGATCTACCACACATAAGAAAAAAGCCACCCATATTTATTTCCCTCACTGTCTCCCTCACTCCTTAGCACATTAGTATTAAAAAATAATAAGAGCCAGACTTAATGGCACAATCATATAATCTTAGTTACTTGGGAGGATTAAAAGTTCAAGACTAGCCTGGAAAATGAGACCTTGTCTCAAAATAAAAAAAGATTCTGGGGAGATGGTTCAGTCAGAATACTTGCATAAAAGCTGGACATGGAGGCATATATCTGTAATCCCAACACTGGAGAAGCTGGGACAGGAGGATCCCTGGGGGAAGGGGATGTTGTTACATAGGACTGTCTTCCAACAGACCATAGACAGACACCATCTTCCAAAACTGGTTGCGCCCACCTGCCTAGGATCATCACAGCTTGCTGCCTGTTGGGCTCCGAAAGGAAGGAGAAGCAGGGAGAGTCACTGGACCCTCCCAACCAACTAGTAGGCCCTAGTTGCACAAGTGGGACAGCTATGGGTATATAGGCTGGATGAAGACTTTCCAATGCGGTCTTTTCAGGGTGAGCACCCACACTCCTGTAAGTAAACCCTCATGCACTGCTTCATAAGTAAGTCCAATAAACTCACTAGTTTTCCAGATTACAGTTGGGTGAAACCATACTTCGGTATGTTGTTGGGACCAGGGGAGGAGGAGGCAGATGTTGTTTATAGCCCACTGGAAGGAATTTTAGCTACAGATGGAAAGATGGCTTAGTGGTTAAAAGCACTTCCAGTTCTTCCAGAGAACCAGGGTTTATTCCCAGAATCCCAGGCAGCTCACAACCTCCTATAACTCCAGCTCCAGAGGATACAATACCCTCTTCTGGCAACTAAGGACACCTGTACACACGTGGTATACACTCACCCAGACACACATACACATATATAAAAATATAATAAATCCTTAAAAAATTAAGGTGGATAGCAATACCCAACATCAATCTTTGGCTCTACATGCCTGCAGCCACAGAATACACACACATGCATGCACATACACATAAAAAGGCTGGGGCTATCTATAGTTCAGTTGCCCAGAATGCACAAGGCCCTAGGTTCAATCTCAAGCACTGAAAAATACATTATAGGGGGCTGGAGAAGTGGCTCAGCAGTTAAGAACACTGGTTGTTCTTGCAGAAGACCCGGGGGTTCGAATCTCAGCACCCACATGGCAGCTAACAACTGTCCATAACTCCAGTTCCAGGGGATCTGACAGCCTCTTCTGACCTCCACGGACATTGTAAGACACTGGTGCACTTACCTACATGCAGGCAATACACACATACACATAATATAAAAACAAAATTTTTTAAAAATTACAATATAATGAAAAACCACAAGAGGCTGGCAACTGAATGTAATTAAATGATTCTTCATTAGAAACAAGGACAGAAAAAAATAACACTAAAATAAGAGCACTGGGACAAATGGAAAATATTACACTAATATCCCATGTGTAACAACAGATTAGAGGCAGATGGATCTCTGTGAGTTCAAGGACAGCCTGGTCTACATAGCAAGTTCCAGGCCAGCTGGGACTACAGGGAGAATCTGTCTCAAAAAGATGCCCCCCCCCCAAAAAAAAATCAACCTTCTCTTGAAGAGATATACACTGTCAGGCCTGGGGGCATAAGTATATATTCCCAGCTACTCAGAAGGTTGAGGCAGGAGGATTGCAAATCTAAAGTCAGCCTGGGAACTGATGAGACCCTGTCTTGAAATTTAAAAAGTAAAAAAAGACTAGAATGCTTAAGGGAAAGAGAGCAGGGGAGGGGAGACAGAAAGGAAGGCATGCATAGTCACGACTTCCACAACCAAGTGCCAAAGTTCAGCTAAAATTATACTAAGTTTGTGCATGTGTCAAGAGGAAGACAAAGCAAGTAACGTAAAAAACTTCAACTACTCAAATTTGGGAACGTGTACACAGTCTTGCCAGATTTATGAATATTTGAAATTTTCCAAATATGAATCTGAGGAAGAAATTAAATGTTACTTACTAATTGCTTGACTTTCACTGCCTGTGGAATGCCAGCTGGTTGTGAAAGGAGGGGGCCTGGCTGGGCAAGTTTGATCTGAACTGGAGTGCCAATGACAGGTCTGTCAGGTGTGGTCCCAGCAGAAGTAAGAGCAGGTGGAAGACAAAGAGCTGCAGCAGAAGTTTCTCCAAAAGTCATCGAGGGAAGGGCCAGTGCTACCGCTGCTCCAGAGACAACTGGGTTCTCAGGCTGCAGGGAGACTGCTGTCACCGTATTTGGTACGGATGTGCAGAGTGGTTTTGAAGTCTGAAGCAAAACAGTTCCAGCAGTGGTACCTCCTGTTACAGCGGCTGGACCCACAGAATGCAGTGTCATAACTCCAGCTTTTGCCCCTCCTGCACCAGCAAGTGGATTCGGAGTCTGCACAGACACAGGTCTGGGTGCTGTTGGTCCAGAAACAGGGATGGGCTTTTCAGGCTGGACTGAGGAAACTGTACTGGTCGGCACAGAGGAAGTTGTTGCTGTTGTGGTGCAGGTGGCAATGACTACTTCACTAGAAGTTTCCCGAACACACTCCTCAATGAAGCTCTGGGAGCTAGGAAGAAGCTGTCTTAAGGCAGCCACACTTTTCTATGGAGAATGGAGGAAAAGAAGACACAGACTACTAAATAGGCTATTAGTAAAACAATTTTATATTTCTTCTCTGACCTCCACATATGTACCATGGCATACATACCCCACCCAAATAAATAAATGCTAACTATTTGTTTAAAGTTACTCTGCTATGCCTGTTTTCTAAAACATTTAAATGAATACCATGAATGCATTTTATAGCATTTTACAAAAGTACTAAAGCTTCTCCCACATTGTTATTATCTTCATTTTGACTTCCAGTCAGATTAAATATTCAAGTTTTAAATTAATCTAACCGAAACAGTTTCTCCAAAGAAATATAACCCTACCTTAAGAAATGGGACTAGGTGAGGCTGAGGCGCAGACTTGAGTTCCACATACAGTTTCCTAGTAAAGTCTTCTGCTTCAATTTTTGCATCCTAAGGAATGAGAGAAAGAAAATACTTTAAAATATACAAATATTTTAAGAAACTAAGCTGTGGATTGTGGCACACACCTGTGAGGCAACTACTCAAATGGCTGAGGCACGAAGATGACTTGAACCTAGGAGCTGAAAACCAGCCTAAACAGCACTGAGCCACTATCTCTTAAAAATTAAATTAACTTTGAAATGAAAGTTAAATGAAAGAGGGGCCTGGTGTGGTGGTACATGCCTTTAGTCCCAGCACTTGGGAGGCAGAGACAGGTGGATCTCTGAGTTCAAGGCCAGCCTGGTCATTTTGTGCTATTGACTTGTGTTAAAAATCAGAAAGATCAGCTGGGCATGGTGGTGCATGCCTATAATCCCAGCACTCAGGAAGCAGAGGCAGGAGCTCTGTGAGTTCAAAGTCAGCCTGGTCTACATAGTGAGTTCCAGGTCACCTGGGGCTACAGGGAGACCCTGAAAAAAAAAAAAAAAAAAAAAAAAAAAAAAAGAGGGAGCTGGAGAAGTGGCTCAGCAATTAAGAGCATTGGATGTTCTTGCCGAGGACCCAGGTTCCATTCTCAGCACCCACACACTCACTAACAACCATCCTTAACTCCGGTTCTGATACCCTCTTCTGGCCCCCATAGGCATTGCACTTATGTGGCTAACTTACATAAATACAGGCAAAGCACTCATACAGTTAAATAACATTTTTAAATTGGTCTACATAATAAGTTCCAAGATTCTGTCTCAAAAATCAAACAAGCACAAAACCAGTACATCTATCTCATTAGCATGCAAATTGGCTTTTATCCCTAAGAAAGACAAAATAACACGCATACTAAATTATTTCAAAATAAATTTCTTCCTGATTTGTTTTCAGTGAATGTTTGATTAATAATATACTCATATACCTATATACTCAAGGTCATGTAAAAATTTGTCAGGCAAAAAAGTAAGCAGCCCTTACTAATGTCAGGTATCCTTCAAGTCTCCATACCCTTTGAAATCTGGCATATCTTGAAAGGGAAGGGCAAAAGCTCACTATTTCCTTCAAAAAAGATACTCAAAATCTTTTTAAAAACTTGTTTATATGACTTGTAATCATATTTCTCTTTCATTTTGTTTTTGAGATGGGGTCTTGCTACATAGCCCTGGTTGGCCTCATCTCAGCAGAACGGCTCAGTGTGGCTTGCCACTCAGCCTGACAACCTGAGTTTGATCCCCACAGTCCACATGGTAGAAGGAGATTGAACTTTGGACCTTGTACATGGTAGGAAAGCCCTCTCCCACTGAGACAGAACACTCCTAGCCCCTTGGTGTTTTTGAGGGAGAGTCTTGCACTATAACTCAGGCTGGTCTTGAAGTGCTAATAAAGCTAAAGATGACCTCAAACTCACAGTCCTTCCTGCCTCAGCCTCCCAAGTACTGAGATGACAGGAATAGGTCATCACCCCACCCGAATGATTTGTAATTTTTATTGTCTAAAATAAAAAAACTTCCCAATTGAAAAGCGAGCAGTTTCAAATATAATTAATTCAAAGTATCATTTAGAAAATAAAGGAGTTACTTTTAATATTAATAAGTTAAGTTTGTCTTCCTTTAGACAATATTTGTAATAATTCTGTACTGGGAAAAAAATAACCAATCTATATGGAAAAATACACAAAAATATAAATTATGACCATAGAATTCTTAAACTATCATAGATCAAAAAACCCAAAATTATATATCTTATTGAATTCTCAGTATATCTTAAACACATAATCCAAGCAAGTACTTGCTTATGTCTATGTTCATCCTCTCAGTATGTGAAGTTTTTAACCTCAAAGAGGAAAAAGGAAACCAAACATGTATAATTTGGTAGCTAAGAGATTCAGCATTATAACACTTCAGAAAATGCAAAGATTATCAAGTTTATCCTTTTCCTCTTACAGGTAAGAAAACTGGGGCCTAAGAAGATTAACTTCACATTGTAAAGGTTGGTGTTTAAACCAATGAGAACTGGACTTCATATTTGCTGATGGCCTGGCTTTCTGAAATTTTCTAATTCTAGTAACAATTTCCGAGACCCTGCTTATGCTACGGGAAACAAAGCTAGGGGCTAGGAAACAGCTCAGAAGCTAAGAGTACTTGCTGTTCAAGCATAAGGAACTCAATTCAAATCTCCAGAACTTAGGCACTCTCGTAGAAAGCCAACCAGGGATGCATGCAAGCCAGTAATGACAACACTGTAATGCTGTGTGGCAATAGAGACAGGCAGATCATTGGGTCTTGCTGGCCTTCAGCCTCACTCCAGGTTCAGGAAGAAAACCTATCTCAAGGGAATGAGGTAGAAAGTGATAGACCAGGACACCAGATGCCTTCCTTTGGTCTCCACAAACACATGGGTGCCTGCACCTGAGCACACACCTGCACTTAAACTGCACACACAAAGCTTTAAAGAAACAAAAAGTTTCATCAAGTATACTAAATTAACCTCATTAAGACATCCATATTTCAGTGGTGGCACACATCCTTAGTCCCAGCACTTGGAAGGCAGAGACAGGTGGATCTTTATGAGTTTGAAACCAGTCTAGTCTACATAACAAACTCCAGGCCAGCTGAGGTTACAGGGAGGCCCTGTCTCAAAAAAAAAAAAGACATTCATATTTCTCATTTGAAGCATATTCTATGAATTCTCAGAGCCTGCAAAATTCTATGACTTACCAAAAGTTGCTCCACCAGCTTCTTCACATTCTGCCCCATTTCTGGAGACTGTGATCCACTACATGCTAGTTTTATTAACATTGAAAGGAAGTTTTTACATTTCTTCACATTTTCTAGCATTGTCTGATACAAAAAATAATCACAGATGTTAGTTATCAAGAAGGATCAAGAACATTAGCAAGAACTACATATGATTAAGATGCAAGAGAGAGATTACCGGAGAAAGAGCAGCCTGAGCAGCCTGAGCAGCTAGGGGGGTCTCGGCTTTGAGACTGGGCTCATATGAGAGGGTAGATACTGTTCCCAAACTTGATGGCTTCAGGATAGTTACAGTATTCACCGGCTTTGCAGGAGTAACTGTGACAACACTGGCTGGTACAGCCAGGGACTGAAAAGAAATCACCATATATATATTTAAATACATATATAGTGGGATAGTGGGTATGCTTCACACTTAAAAGATTACAAATGAATTTTGACACCTTTGATTTCAAGTGATGCTCTAACAATCCAAGGCGATGTTGCAGGTCAATGCTGAACTCTAGCATTAGCATATCTGGTTCCATTCTTACCTACCATCCTACTTTCTATTGCCATCAACTGCAGTACTGCCCACCAGCAAGTCCCTGATTCCTGCCAATCCTAATTCATCTCTGCAAAAGGAAAGACAGGAATGGACTTACTGCCCCTAGGGTGGTCTGTGAAGAACAGTGTTAGACATAACAGACCTTAAATGGGGCTGAAGCTGGCTCAGTGGGTAAAGTGCTTGCCATGCAAGCATGAGGAACTAAGTTCTGATCCCCAGCATCCACATAAAACTAGGCATGGTAGTGCATATCTGTAACTGCAGTGTTTGTGGGGTGAAGACAGGTGACTCTGGGGTCTCACTGGCCAGCCACTCTAGCCAAAATGGCAAGCTCTAGGTTCAACTGAGAGAACCTGTCTCAAAAACTAAGTTGGAGAATAATTTTGAATGCCTGAAGTTGACCTCTAGCTTCCACACATGAATGCACAGGTGAGCACAATGGATACCACACAAACTGTGGGTGCATGTGTGTGTGTACTTCTCTAAGAACTTATTTGTAAAAGCAAATCTTTATACTTTATATGTTATATGAAGACCAAACAACTTCATGCTTTTCAATGTCCTGTTTTTTTAAGTATAAAGATTTATCTGCTAATGATCATATACTCAGATATACTGATTTTATGTAGACCATTAGAGTATGAATAATGAACATTATAGAAGAGGGCATCTTATTTTCACATTGAAAGGAATTTCATTTAATTCTACCAATATCAGAATGAGGTATGATTCTAGCACCACCTGCAGGACAAAAAGTTTAACACAAGAAACCATAAAACCATACTGAAAGCAACAAAAATACTAAAAGTTACATGACATAATAATAAGAGGGAGGCTGGACATGGTGGCGCACGCCTTTAGTCCCAGCACTCAGGAGGCAGAAGCAGGCAGATCTCTGTGAGTGCAAGGCCAGCCTGGTCTACATAGTGAGTTCCAGGACAGCTGGGGCTACAGGGAGACCCTGTCTCAAAAAGACCAAAAAATAAAAAATAAAAAAGTAAGAAGGGCAGTGGCTAACACTTGAAATGCACAGAGCAAACTGAACATTGTAGCATCACTTAGTGTGATGTGCATTCCACAGACACACAACTGAGAAGGATCAGATCGCTACCATCTCAAAAAGGTTCCTTCTGCAAGAGTCAAGGTGAGTAGATGCACACCCAAATTTTCATTTCAGAACACTGGTACATATCAGACAAAATATGTAAGTAAAATGGGAAGTAAATTAAAAATATTAGTCATTGATGACTAGAAATCATGATGAAATGCGGACCAAAAGGTAAAATTAAAAATCACAACTAAGCCGGGCCTTTAATCCCAGCACTCGGGAGGCAGAGGCAGGTGGATCTCTGTGAGTTCAAGGCCAGCCTGGTCTACAGTGAGTTCCAGGACAGCTGGGGCTACAGGGAGACCCTGTCTCAAAAAGACAAAACAAACAAACAAACAAACAAAAAAAAAAATCACAACTAAAAAATCAGCCCAATTTTATTAAATATAGAGAAAACTTCAAACGCAACATCAAACTGGCCTTCCCCTTATTTAACTCTTATATCTGCTATCCAGAGGCAACTACTGTGAAACTTCTTCATAACAGAAGTCTCTTGAGAGGTAAACATGGCACACAAACCTGTAATCCCAGCATCTGGGAGGTAGAGTAAGAGAATCAGGAAATTAAGGCCAGTTTCATCTACAAAGTAAGTCTGAGGTGAGCCTGAGCTACATGAGCTATAATTAGATGCTTCAGAAAATCTATCTTATAATCAGGCATAAAAAACTCCCTATCAGGGCTGTAGAGGCAGCTCAGTGGTCAAGAGCACAGCACATACTGTTCTTGCAGAAGACCCGAGTATGGTTCCCAGCACCCATGTCAGAAGACCTGTCACTCCAGCCCCAGGAGAATCAGGTGCCTCTGACCTTCCCAGGGTCAGGTACTCACATGTGCATGCCAGCAAACAAACATACACACACAGATAATAAAATAAATCTTTTAAAAAAAATTTGTAACACTGGAGCTAGGAAAGAATAGTTTGGAGTTTTGGCTAGTGACTATGATGGCCCTGGATGCCTGGTGGGAGTGCTTCTTCAAAGCAGTGCTGCTCCCTGTGCTATGATGCACAAAACTGTTGTGCTGTTCATGAGCAGAGGAAGTACTCAGTGTCTTTGTCAGTATTTTGTCAACTTTAATCTTTCACCCTGTTATAATTTGAGTCTTAAATGTCCCCTAAAGGCTCATATTCTAACAGAATGTGCCCCAGGCCCATAGCACTTCTGAGATGCGGTAGAACCTAGTAGAACCCAGTCATCAGGTGTGTGTCCTTGAAGAGAATATTGACACAACAGGTCTGTCTTCCTGTTGTATTGGATGGACCCATTTAAACTCACTCACAAGTCTGCTTACACTTAATACTCTAGACCAGCCAATGGTATTTCTGTTCTTTGCAAGACTGAACTGCACTGATTAAGCATGTCTTAGACAGCAGAGAAAAGGGCTGGGGTATATGTGAAATGAGTGTGAAAAGCAGTTATGCATTAACTGAGCTGCACTTCAAGGAGGTCATTTTCTGTACCCATCTGAAAGAGCAATTACATTACATTTGTTCATATTCAATCAGAAATATTAATTCTAAATCAAATCATTTACACATTTATGTTCTTATCTAACAATCAGCCTAATTATATCTTAATCATTAAATATAACCTACCATTGAACACAAGGATTTCAAAGTTGTTCTTGTGTTATAGGACATGTTTCAAGTCATTTTAAACAAATATTGATGCCAGTAGGAAACAGGATGCAAATAGGAAAATGCACACTTTCAAATTTTCTTGGTATACACGTTTGCCTTTACAGTCGAAGTCAAGTATAAAGAGTCCTATCAGGTTCTCTCTTTTGAGTTCTTGCTGCGTGCTTCTAAGTACCCAAAACTGAGATGCAAGAACCCTCAAAGTGAACATACAAAGCAACTCCATTTGGGGAAATTTTTACCGTTTTAGACTTATTACTGAAGAACACCAAGGCATGGTAGCCACACCTTTAATCCCAGTGCTCGGGAGGCAGAGGCAGCAGATCTCTGTGAATTTGAGGCCGGGCTGGTCTACATATTGAGTTCCAGGCCAGCTGGGGCTACAGGAAGACCCTGTCTCAAAAAGACAGAAGGAAGGGAGGGAGGAAGGGAGGGAGAGAATGTATCAATGTAGATATAGGGAAAAATAATCCAAGAAAAAAAATGGCGTACCAATGTAGAACAATTATATACACTAAATCTTTCTTTGCCATAGACTGACTTGGTCAGCCTAAACACATGTACACACGAGCACAATTAAATAAACTCTGTATTATTATAAATGTATATATGTATATATATATATATAACAATACTAATCAAAGAAAACAAGCAATTGAGAGGGGTAGAGGACGGGGCATGAGGAGTTAGAGGGAATATTGGAAAGGGCGGAAATGATACAAATACTCATGCATGAAATTCTCAAAAAAAGTCAAGAACATAAAAGAAAATCAAGAATTCAAATTACAGCAACATTTGAAAAAAATGAAAATGTTAGTGATTTCTGAGATGTTCCTAGGTATACAACAATACAATGCAGTACACTGTGGCTCAGTGTTAAGAACCCACATTCATGCATCTGTACTTAGGGTCGTTGAAACTTACAAATTCTAAGTTTCAGTTTGAGTTTCATAAAACTTTCCTGCTCATCTGTATTCATCTCTTCACAAGGATTGATTCCCAACAAATATCTTACATGCAAAAATTCTACTTTTAGCATCTGCTACAACAGATTGCAATATATGTAGCTATTAGATGTATTTATATTATTTTAATACATTTAAGTAATACAGATCTAATAATAATAAACACCAAGCTTTCCTGTTTGCTACATCTCCAACAGTTCCCAATTTAATACATAACAGCATTATTACTGCTATCTTCCATGTCATAGTCAGACACTTAAGTATTTGGCAAGAAATAGCTAAATAATAAAGAATGAGAGAACCAGTGCATGCGTGCCATGGACAAGCCACACTTGCTTGCATTGAGGAAGCAAGTGGAAGGGTGGTTGCCACAGTAGTTCCTATCAGCATCACCACTGCTATTTTCTTTTTTAATTTTTTAAAAATATTGTATTATTTTTATTTTTGGTGTACGCATGTATTGCCTGCATGCAGGTAAGTGCACCTGCATCGTGCAATGCTGGCGGGGGACAGAAGAGACTGTCAGATCCCCTGGAACTGGAGTTATGGACAGTTGTTAGCTGCCATGTGGGTGCTGGGATTCAAACCTGGGTCTTCTGCAAGAACAGTGTTCTTAACCACTGCACTCCCTCTCCAGCCCCAACCACTGCTACTTTCTTGATTACAGTGAGCTAAAATTCTTGAACAACAAGGTAACAGTCCTTGGCACTGGTCATTTTTAAATCAATCACTACTGCGGACAAAACAAGAACCCTTTAGCAAACTGATCTACTGTAAACTTAACTGGCTTTATAACCATTCTATATTATAAACTTAGCTGGTCAATTGGCCAACTGACATTCATTTATTTCCAGTAAGGCAACTGCTTCACTAAATACCTTTTCCTCTATTTTAACTCTCCAACGAAGTAAGCACCACAATATTCTACATTAAAATCTTAAACTAGGGCCAGCAAAGTGGCATAAAAGTGGCATAAAAGTGTTTGCTGCCCAAACCTGAAAACCTGAACTTGATCCCCAGAACCCATGGTGGAAGGAGAGAACCAAGTCATCAAGCTTGTCCTGACACCTCATGCACACTGTGGCATGTGCATATCCATACTCACATCATATATATGCACATATACAATAATAAATAAAATTAAAAATGAAATATTTGAGACAGGTCTCACTATGAAGCCCTAGCTGGCTTGGAACTCCCTATGTAGACCTGTTGGGATTAAAGGCCTGCATCACCATGCCTAGCCTAAAAACATAAAATACTAAACTTGCTTTGTCATACAGAAGTCATATAGATTCTTATTTAATATTTAATTATAAACAAAAATCTATTAACCTTTAACCCAAAGATAAACCAAACTAGAAAAGTACTACAGAGAAAATAACTAATTGAGCACCTAGTATCAAAACTGAAAACAAAGCCAGCAAGATGGCTCCAAGGGTAGAGGGAGTTTGCTGCGAAGTCTGATAACCTGAGTTCAATTCTTGAGACTGACATGGTGGAGAACTGACTCCTATAAACTGTCCTGACCTCTACACATGTGCCATGACATGCATGTGCCCCCTACATACACACAAAACAAACGAATAAATGTAATAGTAAAGAAAAATTAAGAGGGAAAGAGAATGAGAGATGGGGATAGGGAAAGGGAAGGAAGGAAGGCAGAGACAGAGGGAGAGAAGGAGGAATAAAGGCAGGAGGTGTGGAGGGAAGCAGCCAGCCAGCCAACTAGGTCAGCATTGGATACCTCCTCACTTGTTCTCTACCTTATTTTTTGAAATAGTGCCTCTCACTGAACCTGGAGCCCCAGGGATCCTTTTGTCTTTAGCACTGGGATTACAGCTGCACACTACAGTATCCAGCTTTTTTTTTACCCCCTGTGGGTGCTAGGAATCAAACTCAGATCCTCATGCTCGGGCAGCAAGCACTCCTCAGCCCCAGGATTTTCTATTTAAATAAAGATGTTCAGAATTTTTTTTTTTTTATCTTTTTGGTCTTTTTGAGGCAGGGTCTCTTCTGTAGCCCCAGCTGTCCTAGAACTCATTATGTAGACCATCGTGGACTTGAACTCATGGAGATCCGCCTGCCTCTGCCTCCCAGTGCTGGGATCAAAGGCCATGAGGTATTTTTAATTCAGTGACACAAGCTAAACTTCAGTAATACAAAAAGATCACCAACTACGTAAACAAGTCACCTCAAACAATGCAAAACTAATGAAATATTAAAGTAGATTTCTATAATTCTCAAAATAATTTCTATACAGTACAGATAAATGCTTTAAATAGGAGTGTTACTATCTAATCACAAATTAAAGCTGAAACAGGGAAGGGGAGATGGCTCAGTCAGTAAAATGCTTGCTTTATAAGCACAAGGACCTGAGTCCAGATTCCCAGCACCAAGGAAAAGGTAAAAAGCCAGGCATGAAGAGTGCTGGGGAGGTAGCACAAGAGAATCCTGGGAGTTTGCTTGTCTGCCGTTCTAGTCAATTAGTGAGCTTCAGGTTCAGTAAGAGACCCAGCCTCAAAAATAAAGTGAAGAGCAACTGAGAAAGGCACCAAAAGGACACCAACTCCTGGCCTCCATATACACAGGAACACATGTGTACATGTGCACTCACACACATATACACCCACCTACCCATCCACACATACATGTATACACACATACACACGCAAAACACAAACATATAAAGAAAACTGAAGCAAAACGGTTATTATCTTCCAACAGATGCAAATTGCCCCTTTGAATATTTCCCTTGAGGACTATAAAAATCACTGAGTATGAAACTTCAATTTTCATTATTTCAGCAATTACCAAATTACAAAACCAAAATCTTGATTAAATTAGCATATTCAAAGAAAGGCACTTAATTTAAAAGCTGAGCAGAGTCATCTCAAATTCATTTTACTGGCAAATGAGCACATACTGATGTGAAGACAATGGATGCGAAGACAACGGCTGGGGACTAAGGTGATTAAGAGGCATTACCGGCACTGTACAGATCTTGACTGTTTGAGTGTTTGCTGGTCCTGCTGGCCTTGGAGTTACATTGCTTGTGGTCTCAGCTCTTGTTACCGCTTGCTGAGGAGACACCAGCATCAAATGACCATTGTTGCTTTTGATCAAAACTGTTCCTATAATTGAAAGAAATAAATAATATGTAAAGCATAACCATCACATAGTTTCTTCTATCATTCCAACACTGAAAAATGTTCTGAATAAGCGCTTCATACATAATGAATTCCATGTTCCCTATCTCAAGATGGTAAAATGGTTTCACTCCAAGTTTTTAAGTTTAACACTCCAAGTTTTTAAGTACACACTTGTATTCCCAGGACCACGGTACAGGAGGAACACAGGTTCAAAGTCAGACTGGACTACATAGGAACAGCTATCTTAAAAAATTTTTTTAGTTATATAAAAACATTTTAGCCATATAGGGTGGTCCATGCCTTTAATCCCAGCACCTGAGAGGCAGAGGCAGGATTTTTTTGAGTTTGAGAACAGCCTGGTCTACGTATCAAGTTCCAGGTCAGAAAGAGCTAGACCCTGTCTCAGAAAAAAAAAATAATAAAATACTGCTAACAGTTTGGGTCTTCAGTATTAAAGGCTTCTATGTTGAAGGCTTGGTCCTCAGTGTGGCAGGGTTCAGAGCTGATTGAATTATGAGGCTCTGAGTTCATCAATAGAGTAATCCAGTGATAGATGGGCCCATAGTTTGATGGGCTACTAGGAGGTAGGGGAAATGTAGGAAATGGGACCTTCTAATTAAAGGGAGTAGGTGCCTGGAGGAAGACATTAAGTTCTGTATCCTGTCCCAGTCTTTCTCTCTCTCTCCTCATGAGCAACAGGAGGTGAGCCATTGTTCTTCATCACAGGCCCCCACCACTGTATACTGCCTGCACATGGACTCAGAGAGGCAACAGAGTCCAGTGACCATGTGCTGAAATGAGTGAAAATAAACATTTCTTTGATTTTCTAGGGCATTTTGTCAGTGATAGAAGGCTAAGGCAGATACAAAGGTAAAAGGTAAAGCATGAACTCCTAGCCAAGCATGGTGATACAAACACGTATAATCCAAGACCTGGGAAGATGAGGCAAGAATATCTAGAGTTCTAGGCCAGCCTTGGCTGCATACCAAGTTTTAAGTCTGAAGCTATATAGTAACAACTTGTCAAAACAAAGCAAAACACAACAAAAAAAACCATTGGGGATGTAGCTCAGAGATAGCCATGTAATAAGGCCCTAGGTACAATCTCCATTACCAGGCAGGGAAAGTATTTTTTTTTAATCTTTTCAGGGCAGGGTCTCCCTATAGTGCCAGCTGGCCTGGAACTCGCTATGTAGACCAGGCTGGCCTCAAACTCACAGAGATCTTCCTAACTCTGCCTCCCCAGTGCTGGTATCTTTAAAGATGCCACCATGCCCAGCAAAATAATTTTTTTAAAGGGAGGAGGGATCAGCTGTGTGGTAGATAAAGAAAGAGGATTAACAAAAATATATTAATTTTTTTTTTAAATATCTTTTTTGAGACATAGTCTCCTTGTAGCCCCAGCTGTCCTGGAACTGGCTACGAACCAGGCTGGCCTTCTACCTGGGATTAAAGGCATGTGTAAAATTACACTAATTTTTTAAAACTAATTCAAAAATAGGTAAATTGTTATTCCATAACTGAGGACATAATGGGGTGCTTTTTTTCTATTACAAAAAATTAAATAACTTAAATACAAAAATACAAAACTTCAGGCTGGTGAGATGGCTCAATGGGTAAAAGCACTTGCCTTCAAGCCTAACAACCCAGAACCCACATGATGAAAGGAGAGAACTGACTCCCTCAAGATGCCCTCTGACCTCCATACATACTATGGCACACATAGATATATGTAATAGGCTCGCACGAGTAAATATTTATGCAATAAATATAATAAAAATGTAATAAAGATTTTAAGCTTCTTAGACAATGTAGAAAATGATCTTTTGAACTTAAAGGACTTCTAATACAACAATGACATTAAAATAAACTTTCAAATAGCAAAAGATAACACAGGCACAAAAGATAAAAAGGCACAAAATAGGATAAAAATCACTTTTAGGCATAGTCAAAAGACATGTGTCCAAAATACACAAGAAACACATGTCAATGGCAGGTAAAGGTAAATTAAGACCACAGGAAGCCACCACTTTAGACCTACCTAGACAGGCCGATGGATACTGTTAGATCACAGACCTTTAGCTGTCTTTCTCTGAGTACCCCTGTAGTCTCCTTTAGAACAAGGAACTGATAGAGCACTAAAATCTTAGTTGGGAAAACAAGCCCCAGCCTCTTCCCCTTGCAACTAACTCCAAAGAAAACTTAAGGTTCTACCTAGTACCTACTTCCACAGTGCATGAGCCAGTCCAGGCTAACTACTGAAGTACTATAGTATGGAACGTCCCACCACCCTCTAAAAATGTTTAAGAGTCAGAAACCCCCTTTGTTCAGGAATTTGAAGGCTCTCTCCTTCAGGCCCCTGGTCATGCTACTCAAGGCCATCTCTCCTAACGCAGCAGTTCTTCTCCAAACAGGGGATCTCCCACTTCAGGGTCCCATCTCCTAATAAGTGCAACAAGCAACAGGAACACTACCATCTTAGTTGCTGGTTGTAACTAGTAGAACTATTTTAATCAACTTCATGATTGCTCCAAATTGACTTCTATTTGCAAATCTTATAACCCAGTATTCCTAACCTGAAGAAATTCTTGTCCTTGACAATAAGAGGCACGAACAAGAATATTCCTAACTGGAGCTCCACTTCCAGAACAGAATGACAATACAAAAAGCACTACAAATCTATTCCCTAACAATCTTAACTAATGAAAATAGTTTTTCAAGGCAACCATTGAAAGTTTGGAAATTTCCCTAAGGCAAACAAAATACAGAAGTATTAAAGAGCTGCAAACTGTTTAAGAATAGCAAGAATCTATGGTGTTTTAACTACAATCCACCCACATCCCTTTGCCTTCAGCTGGACATGAACGAAGCCATCAGGGAGTGTGGCCAAAGACACAAGGCTCCCTCTGTCCAAAGCCCAGCAGTGAAGGACATGGAATACTCAGGAAGAAACAGGTCCAGCATCACTCATTCTATACTTCCCCTCCTCACACAGTAAAGAGGAGAAATTCCAGATAAGTATATCCTAGATGTACTTACTTCAGGGACGGTACACTAAGAGCAGCTGGACCCCAAGGATCCTAACCCCAACCCTTTATTTATTTTATTTTTTGGTCTTTTTGAGACGGGGTCTCCCTGTACCTCCAGCTGTCCTGGAACTCACTATGTAGACCAGGCTGGCCTTGAACTCAGAGATCCGCCTGCCTCTGCCTCCCAAGTGCTGGGACTACAGGGAACCAGCACTTGGAACCACCACTCCCGGCAACCCCAACCCTTTTTCATAGGGTATAATCTCTGTTGGGAGAAGACAGCAGGAAAGACAAGAGTACCATCCAGCTCCACATAGTACCCTGATCCTATCATAAAGATGCCACTCAAGTAGAAGCATGCCACAGTCCTGACCCTGCTCCAAACATCTCCTTCAATGAACTTTGTGTCAAGTACAGGGTAATGAAGTTGAAGACTAAGATATTTTCAAGCATGATGGACCTATTAGAAGAATGATAGTTTCAGTGGAACTGGACAGATGGTTCAACACCCACATGGCGGCTACACAACCACCTGTAACTCCATTCCAGGGGATCTGACACCCTCTGACCTCTGTGGGCATTGCACAAGATGGGTGCACTTACATGCATGCAGGCAATACACTCATACACATAAAATAAAAATAAATAAATTTTGCAATACACTCACACACATAAAATAAAAATAAATAAATTTTTAAAAATTTAAGAACAAATGATAGTTGCATGACATAGAAGCTAGGCCATAGGTCTATTGGTTTACCAGAGAGAGCCACCCAACAGCAACTATGAATGGTCCTCGTGTAGTCAGCCCAAACCTCAAACACTGGTCTCAAAACTGTCCTTGATTTAAAAAAAAAAAAAAGCTAATTATTCCTGTTGAAAAAATATTAAAATAAAGCTTAAAAAACTCTTGTAGAGCCGGGCATGGTGGCAGGGCCAGGCATGGTGGCACATGCCTTTAATCCCAGCACTTGGGAGGCAGAGGCAGGCGGATCTGAGTTTGAGGCCAGCCCCAAAACAAAACAAAAAAACAAACAAAACTCTTGTAAAGGGGTCAAAATTGTAACAAATTAGCAAATTAGGCCTTAGAGTACTGTTTTTGGGAGCTTTTTTTTTTTTGGTCTTTTTGAGACAGGGTCCGCCTGTAGCCCCAGCTGGCCTGGAACTCGCTATGTAGACCAGGCTGTCTTTGGACTCAGAAATCCACCTGCCTCTACGTCCCAAGTGCTGCGCCACCAAGCCCAGCTCTTAGAGTACTGTTGTAGCAATAAGGTAATCTGCTGGCAATGGTTGGATCCTAACAGCTGGCGTGAAAGCAGCAAAGGTCAGGGAACAAGACAGGAAATCTTACTAAAATGTTACTGTGTTCTCTGAGGAGTAACGTCAGAGGCATCTCATGTGAAGAAAAAACAGACTTTAATAAGATGGTCCATACATTTAAGTAAAAAGGAAATGACAAGAGAAGACAAGAAACCCCAGGCAAGCAACAGGAATACAGTCTAGGTAGCAGAAAACAATATCTAAAGTTGCCACACTGGATTATCTAAAAATGTCAAGTATTATGAAAAAATGATGGGACATACAAAGATGCAGTAAAGTATGACTCACTGGGTGAAACAGGACAGAAGCCACCTGTGAGGGAGTGAGTAGATGTCAGATTCAAGTCCTGATAGCAATCATTATAAATACCTCCAAAGGACTAAGAGGAACCCTATTTGAGGAAGGAAAAGGAAGATGATATCACAGGGAATGTCGCTAGAAGCCAAGCACGGTGGCACACACCTGTAGTCCTAGATACTTGACAGGATGAGGTACAAGGATCACTTGAGGCAAGAAGACTGAGGCCAGCCTGGGTAAAAACAAAAAGAATATTATCAGAGCCAGGTGAGTTCAAGGCCAGCCTTATCTACATAGGGAGTTCAGGCCAGCTGGGGCTACAGGGAGGCCCTGTCTC